AATGGTACACAGAGATAACACAGCAAGAAGACATTATGCACTTCAAAGTATGCTGATAGTTATTTACAAGCTTAGCTGAGCGGCTTCAGGGAAAGCAGATCATTAACCAAAACAAGTACGAATACGTGCTCCAATTGCAGTATTTGCATGCAAATATTGACACTGACAAAAAACTCAGAAGACCCAGAACTGAGGAAACTCACGTAGAAAATGTCACCAACAAATTCTTTCCAACACAAGAACTTAGAGAAGAACTTGATTTAAGGTCAACATGGCAAAGGCATGGCAGCAAGTACACTACTATTTACACCAGAAGCAGAAACCCAAAATCTATTTAGTGTCACCCACCCCAGGACCCAAAATCAGTATTAAAGAACTGTAATGGAAAGAACAGAAAGGATCTCAAGGAGTTCAGTAGTGACTGGAAAATGTGAATTTAGTAACATAGAGGCATAGAACAAAATCTTTTACTTGGAAAGACGCAGGATAAAACAGACAGAATATCAGTATAGGAAAAACATCCAAGATCCTCTCAAGCATCTCCCCGATACAGCTGTTCTCTAAAGGTGGTTCTTTTACTTCCGTAACTCTATAAATACGTTTGTAAACAAATGTCTTTAACTGAAAGGCATTAACAAGTACAGATACAGTACTTAAAACACATGAGAAGCAAGCCTGAGACCAACATCATCCTAAAGTAAAATACTTTCTTATACTTGAAATTTTATCACAGACTCCAAAATGCATTAGGAAAAAGACATTGCATCTTACGAGTCCTGGAAGATTTTCCAGGAGAATATTTTCCAACATAAGAACTACCACATCTAACAGAGCCTGAAAAGTTTCACCACAAGGTCATGAATTTCTTCAGAGAATCATTTTAATCTTGTATTACCCTCACCTACCTGGAAAAAATGGAACAAAGCCATTGCTTAAGGTTCTTCATGGGATTTTTCCATATTAATATATTTAATAGGACTACAGAAATCCTTTTGTCTCAATTTAATGTAGATTTTATTTTACCAGTTCATAAATATTAACCCATACATGGGTTCAAATCTAAGAGAAGCTGGGAACTAAAAAGTAATCTAATATTGCAATATATTCCTTTCCCCCCCATCTTAAGTAATTTCACTGTTTTAAAATCACATTGCAATCAAATGCAAGCTGTTTGGGAACAACAGGAAAGGGAAGGGAACAGTAAGTCAAAAAGGAGTTTTATTTTTAAAAACTTCTGTAATTATATCTGATCCATGGGGCGGATGATCTTCTTTAACCATTTATCTTCCTGCCTGATAATCCAGAATTCTCCATCTCTGTTATTGAGCCACAGAAATACCGACCTGGGGATCCTCTTCCAGGACACTCAGGCCTCCAGTCTTCCACTGGAGTACACACTATTTATGCCCAAGATTGTACCATTCGTGGAAACAGAATCCTTCAGATGAAAAGGCCACACATTGACCACCCCAATAACATATTCTCTGCCAGTTCAGCTCCTGACCTGCTCAGTGGCGGTTAAAAATATTCCACAGCTGCATGGAGCAGTTGCGCTGTGGGCAACTAGTGTGATGTTCTGGCCATATCGAAGGTGACTGCTCAAAGAAACTTTTCCGGGTAAAGACACAGACAGCATTTTAAGAACTGCATAAAAAGCAGAACAGGCGTATTAACAGCCTGATTAAAAAATAAATACGTCCAACAAAACAACTCTGTCAATGCCTTGGACCTCCTTAGAGCACACAACATAACCAAGATGATCTGAGGGGAGGACCTGGTAATATATATGGCCCAGTCACTGGTATATATGATCACCTATTACTAATACTTTAAAAAATGACGTTTTACTATTACTTTACATTCACAAAAAAGTTAGAATTCAGAAGAGATGTCTATGATTTGCATTCCAAGAAAGTATCCATGCAGAACAAGGCTTTAATGCTTGCTGTTGGATATCTATACCTCCAATCTAGGAGTCGTGTATTTAAAACCAAAACGTCCAGCTATGTCCTCATGTGCACAACATTAATGCATCAGTCTTGGACGAGTACATCAGTCCATTGCATAGATCCCCAATTACTCCAACCACATCTTATACAGAGAGCGAGTTTTACTTTATGCAAAGTAGAATACTGTCAAACTCCTTAAATCAACATCATAGAGTCACTGTTCCTTATACATCCCAATTCATCAGTTATCCTTCTTCAATCAGCACTGTTTGGTACAAACCAGCAGTCAAGCTCAGGCATCTTTGCTAGAAGTAGTCTAGTACTGCATTTCCATCAAAAATCAAATGCAAGTGTCAGTTTAGGCATTTCCACTGATCACAATCTGTGACTAAAGGAAGGAATATTTTCACTGATTTCCAAAATCCTGTGACTTCACTGTAAGTACAGCATGCATGTGTTCCTCCTAAGACATTGCTTATATAAAGAAGTGATACTGTGCCTAGCCTCCATTTCTAAACATCCTAGGACAAATAATTTGCAAAGAAAATTACAAGCAGAGGATAAAAACCAGCAGTTAGGTTTTCAGCTCCTTCCTTTTCTTTCCTTCATTTAATCTGCTTACCTGACATCACTTTAACAACAGCTACCTACAGCCCATCGTTCTTCCACACTAATACCATTAAGGGAAGGGAGCCTCTAACATCTCTATTAAACTGTAATAAAGCAAAGTCTTCAGCGTGTAATGCCCCTAAGTCAACCAGGCATTACTGAAATTACTTAATCCACAAAGGCAGTACTTACTCGCTCTACTTTACCACTACCAATCACTTCACAAGAGCAGTAGCATTATCCAGACGCATTTCAGAGCTTAGTTTTAAAATTTGTTTCTGGTGTACTATTTCAGTGAGGGTAAAGTGGAAGTACAGAATTAATGTCAACCTGATTTTCAACTGCATTACATTTGGCCACTTCTAAAATAAAATAAAAACCCTTGCAATTCATTCATTAAATTATTACTCTCCCAACACAGAGCATTACTTATCTGCTATTGTGTGTGTTCTAAATATACATGTATAGGCTTTTCTTTTCCCCCCACCCCCTGGCTCCAGTAATTCTCATACTGGGCTACATTAATTACTTAAAGCACATTGAAATGTATAGGTTTCTGGAAGACTAAAATGTATATTCTACCAAATCACAGTCATATCAGATAGTCATTAGGTCTAAGCAAGGGAAGGAAAGGAGTTACTGTGGGGGGAAAAAAAAAATTGTAATATTCCCACTACAATTTATTCATTTTCCATTATTTGAGATGAAAACTAGAAGCATCATGAGAATCTTATACTCTTGATGCAATCCTTTTCAAATAACAGCACAGAGGCCCAACAGAAGAGATGCCACATCATAATAAATAATACAAACGTATAACTGCTACTGAGGTTAGCTCCCAGTTTTATGGCATTTAATCTTCATATTTAAATAGTTTGCTGGCTACTTTAGTACACTGACTCATGTATGAGCTTTGTTTAATCCATGTATACAAAGGTCACGTTTTTATTAAAACTTACTAGAGGCAGCTGAACCCGAAGTTCCTTAGCAATGATATCTTTCAGAATTGGGACTCTTTTTGCCATTATAGTCAGGTTTGTTTCTTTTCTTAGGGGCCCTAGTAAACTAAACGCATTCTTTTTACAAGTCTTGAACTATGTAGGTTGTAGAATAGACAAAGGATGTTAAATTGCAGTGTCTCAACATGAATAAATCATCCCAAAATTCTAAATATTTTCAAAGAGCAGAGCAAGTCATTAGAACCTACAGTTCAAGCTGGAGATGCGATAGCCTTTAAGATGTTTCAGACGACAGAGGCAGTGTTTTCCAACTCACTCATTTACTTCCCTCAAACTTAATAATTGTCTTTGTTTGGCCAGCCGATGGATGTAGATGACAAATTCAAATTGGCGGGGGGCGGGGAATAAAAGGACAGACAAATATCTTCTAACAAAAGGAGAGGGAGGGATTTGTTATTTGTGATTTTCAGAAGAAAAGGAATTTTCAGAAGAAAATTTTCACTTGTAGTGTAGGCCACAATACAGCCGAAATGGTTTTTCCTTCACAAGGATCACTTCAATGAGCCTCACAACTTTCTGGCTATTTGAAAACTAGCTGAAAATACTGCAGATTTTCAGCACACTTTGAGGAAAAAAGAGAAAAGAAAAGAAAACAAAACACTGCACCTCTTACTCTAGATTTCATGAGCTTTGTATCTTTCCACATTATTAACAGATATAATTGGTTAAATGTAAACGTTCAGCAAATTTCTATCAATGTTCAGTACTCTGAAATTGTATCATTATGTTCAAAAAGCAATGATACATTTACAAAGAAAAGATACCACATTCACGAGACCTAAAAACACAGAAGAGAGACACGCTTAGGCACTCAGGGCTAAACAAAGTTGAAGGTAACTGGGGTTACAATGGAGGTTTAGCGACAGACTGGTTATTCTAAATGTTCTGTGGATTCTCCTGACCTTTTCCTCAAAAATCTGCTACCTGGCTCAAAATTGCAGCTAACCTAGCTTCGCACTGATTTCATGGGCAAAGTCCCCTATTTCTAACAAAAAAAAAAAGAGGAAAAACCCAAGTACAGCCAAGACCACGAAGGCATGTTATCACTGCCTCTAATCACTAAGCAACAGTTCCACAAATATGCAAACCTAAAAAAGGGAGAATTTTAGTCTATTGGAAGATATACTGTAAACATGAGATAGCCAGGTAACCAAATGACAAACTATTATCTGACAGCCTTGAAAACCTCTACATGTGACCTGTTTTTAAGCCAACTTGTAATAAATACCACATGCAGCTAAATTTAAAAAAAAAAAAAAACACCAAACCTAAGCCAAGTTAATAGTAACCAACATTCAAATTTAACCATATAAAGTCTACATTAAAATCCAAAATGACAATTACAGAATATTATATTACTATGAACACTGTCAAATGGTTTGAATAGTAGTACACTAAGGAAATAAGTAAAAACACACTTTACCTTGTATCTCATTTTGGGGCACGAATGAATGTAGAAACCCATATAATAAAAACAGAGATCAGGAGCTTTTTCATGAAGTTGCCTAGTAAAAGCAATTTCCCTGTGAAAGGAAAGAAAAAGACTAATTACTTCTGAATACAATTTTTACATTCATTTTACCTCTTCATATTGAAATATTTTACAGCTACTTGGCTCTTGACCCATTTAAAGGACTAGACTTCCATCAAATAAAAAATGAAGATAATAAACTCAAAACTAATGCTTAAAAAACCCCAAAGATAATAAATTGAAAAGTAATGCTTAAAAACCAAACAACTTGTCAAAAAGCAAAACACGATGTCATGTTTAAAAAACAACTTTCATTTTTGTGTTTTGTCCTGCCAGCCGACTGACTTGAAATTCAAATAAAAGTGACCATGAGCTTCTATTTAACAGGTTTATTGTTAATATTCATATCCATTGGAATTCTACAGAAATCTGGTCTAGTTATTGTACACAGTCTGGCTAGCATAGCTCAGGAAAATATCAGAATACTTCCAAAAAAACCAGAAAGCTTCAAGGATAAGCCTCTTTTCTATTATTTGCATTCTAGCAATTTACATGTAAAAACACCCATCTTCATGCAACAAAAGGTATTTTTCACCCATCCCATGTCTGATTGTATGATTTTCTCATTTATTCTGAAAGAGAAGTATCAATGTATTCCAAAATAAGTTTGGTTTTTATTTTACTGGCACAAGCAAAAGTAGTATTATTACAAAGATTCAGTCAGTGTTTCCACTGTAAGGCTCATTTTTACAGCATTTGTAACTTTGCAGCTCAGTTTTGTAACAAATTTGATAAAACATGGATGTTGGTTCTTACTTTCAATTTCGAAGATAAGATGATTATCAGCATGTGCATATAGGAAGTGTGTACAAATACTGGGGGGTTTTTATCACTTAAGTTAGTAATAAGGATGTTTAAATGAACTGAAAACCTAACATTTCAGTTGCATGTAGTTTGCTGAGACCATCACGAGTTCATTATAATTCTGTGTCTATTTACTTCTGTTCAAAAACAGGATTATGTCTAGAAATAAGTTACTCCATATCTGAAAATCCAGATAAATACAACAGATTCCAGAAGAGAGATTGATGTACTACCAAAAATGTTATGAACATGCACTTCATACACATAATCTTTAAGAAATGGCAGGAAGTTAAACAAACTTACTGTTTCATGTAGATTAACCTGGACCTAATTAAACAAATACCTTTCTGCAATTCAAAAAGCTGGACCACCACAGGGAAATAAACATTATCTTTGCATTTCAAAATCTCTTAAACACT